TATTTATGAATATATAATATATGTGTATTTGTTTGTGTATGTATATGTTTATTATATTAATAAATTACATTAAAATTTATGCCGCCGTCTCTCCCACTTCCTTCTAATCCTCTCCATCCAAAGATTGTCTGGAAGAGATCGCTTTTAGCGATAAGGCCGCCCATTGTAACACTTAATTTAAATGGCTCTGTATTTATTGTAATGTTTTCTGTGCTGTTCAATAAAGTGTTTTGTATTGTATTGTATTGTACATCCTAAATATACTCAACATTTAGAGCGTATTAGGAAGTAAAATGGCACCACAGCTGGTTAGACCAATCAAGAAGCGTTCTAGATCTAACGTGATCCAGGTTGTGATCCCCATGACTGTTAATTAACTCGGCCATTTCGCCCGCGGTCAGAAGTGAGGTCGGGGGTGATTTTTGCTGTTCCGCTGGGAGACGACGACGTACTTCCTTAAGTATTTCGAACTTTTAACACATTTTGAACTGAAATATAACAGGATTGTAGTCTAATACGACGTGTCAATATGAATTTAACTAATTTGACAGCACAGATATAAACATTTTACGTTTATTGTCCCCTTGATCACTGGTCTCCTTAATCACTTTTCAGGTGACCCCAGAGACGATTGCAGTGACTCAGGAGACGAAAGACGTCTGCGAGAGGATTTAATGTTGAAAATAAAGAAAATTATGGAATATGCTGCGGTTTTTCTTGATTGTTAATGTGTATGCTACGAAAGGTAAGATGAATAAAAAAATGTGTCATTTATTTCTAAAGTTGACTTTTACAATTACTATAGCTGCAATTTCGGTGCAAATTTCCCGTAATATAGTTGTTTATTAGCCTAACTATGTCTCCTAAGTAACGTATGTATCTCCTGACAAACCAAATTGTCCCCCTGATGTTGTGCTGATTCTTTTAATTTATTAGTTTGACAAGCATTGCTATGTTGTAATTTTTATGTAGCTAGTTTTTATTTAATGGGAGAAGCCCGCCCATGTTTATTTACGAAAAATCATTTTTTTTAAGATTATGAAGAAGTTTCAGTGTATTTTTTCAATTAGTGACTCCAGAGACATAGTTTTGAGAAATTCCATGAAAGACTTGGTAGTTATTTAATATGTGAAGGATGATTTTGTATTTTACTGTATACTTCTTAAAATTACAGTAATTTATTTATCATATTTTTAATGTTTCATTTACCAAACTATCAGTCACCCGGGGGACCCGTTTTGAGACCCAAATTTACTTTGAACCTAATAACTAGCTAAATACGTACTAAAGTTTGAGGCCCTCTTAGAATATTAAAGATCAATAAATAAGGTACACATCATAATTATTATTAATTAAAATAATAAATATGGATCTAAAGAAAATATAACTGGAAAAAATTCCACGCGGACCAGGCAGCAGACGGGACATAAAGCAGTTACATGCTTTATGTATTTGTATTTATACTGTATGACACAGCAATCAAAATGCAGGTAAACAATTAATGTATATTTAATAATTATGTAATGAAAAGTGACTTCATGAATCACCTCTAAAGTCATTTTTCAATTTGACGACTCTGTAAATAATAAAACAGGGAGAAAAAAACAGCCCTTGCTGAGTTTCTTGCCGGTTCTTCTCAGTACAAGGTCTCCCGCCGTAGATTTACGAACCGATGGCGTAGCTTCTAGACATTCATATGTGCTTGTAACAGCCTAAACTGAATAAATGATTTTGATTATGATTATGATTATTATGATTATGATTAAAATAATAAAAATTATAAGAAATATGGATATTTTCTATTTCTAAAAGATTTTCACTTCTCTACAAAAAAAAGTTGATTCACCAAGTAGCAAAATTATAGAATTTTGGGCAACAACAAACATAACAAGTCTAAACTCGATTTGTGTAGAAATAAAGATAGGTAGGTAGGTATGCTGTTTGGTTATCAATTGTATATAAGTATGTTGTATGAAACCAAGATTCAAGTGAAATTCTTTAGTGTTTTTACATCGTGATTTATTTTCTTTATTTTTTTTCGGGTTGTTGTAGGTTATGTTATTCCGGCTTAACATGAAAAGTTGACCTAGATATTTTAAGATATTATTATTTAGGTCATTGCTGATAGATTTTACCCTGACCAGCTGTTGAAAAATTAACCGTTTTTAAGAAAAAAACCTATTTTTTTTCTTAAAAGTAACCATACCTATTACCACTTTTTATCTATTTTTTTCGTATCTTGGACTTTTTACTGTTTTTTTATGTAGAAGGCATGCCATCTACTACTTTTGCGCACCAAAGATTTCGTTGTAACTTGCAAAAATGGCAAAGATACCCTTGTAGGTTGAGCTGAAGTTGGCGTATTTCACGGCACTACATTATTTTTTGGAAGTCATAGTTTCTTGTTGTTTACATTACAGCTTACAACAATCAACATCTCACTACAAAGGAATTATTATTAAGACGAAATGTTCCTGTTCTCATATTACACACTTTGCGTTCCGAAGAAACAAAGCAGGCAAAACATATTAGTACCATGAAACCGTCCCATCTATACCAAATACTAGGGCTTAGCTGGAGTCGTATTACAGCAAAGTAAGAAGGTAGGTAACTTAACACGGCTACTTAGGCGCTTTGCAGACGACGGAGCGGGGCGGGCTTTTTGTCCGCGAAGCAATAAATACCGCGTCTGCCTCCGTCGATATCTGCGGCTGCCCGCGCCGCGTACACAAAGCACACGGCGACGGGCAGTGGCAGTCAGTTCAGGACGTTCGTTCTAGTGAATAGTCCATCACTAAAAAGCGCGTGGCGCGGACTGAGCTGATCGCCCCGCGCCGCCGTCTGCGTTACTGCATATAAACTGGTTTGTATGATCCATGGCGGGCAGCCGCGGACATCCTTCTCTTCGGTCTTTTTGCCCTCTGTGTGCGTTTAAAGTATAGGATTCACTTTGTGCTATTATTCGCGGCCGGCCGGCCCGTCCCGCCCCGTCGTCTGCAAAGCGCCTTATAGCACAGATTACTAAAATACCTCATTTAAGTAACATAAAACCCGGTGCCTGGAACAGGAACCGTTAAACATAAACATCACTGGCGAACGTCTATTGTTCGAATCACGTTCAATATTTTTCAGTCGTATTTTATTGGTTCATGCTTGGTTCATGATACGATTAATGACTAGGTGCCCACTTATAGAACCAACTTAAAAAGGTACAGCCAAAAAACTTATCCCAAATTAGGTATAACAACGCAAATTATTTATACATATTTTCATTTGGATTTTATTTTCCAAATTAACATTTGTCACACGTAACAACTAATCGAAATTTTTCAGTTACCTTCCAAAACTCTTAATTTAACACCTGTCTCTCCTTTTCATTCTGTATAGAGAATGACAAGGAGACACTGTTGTCAAATTTAAGTTTAGATTTAGAGAAACATGCCAGAATCGACATCAATGTTGTCAAAGGAGATTGCTCAAATTGGCCCAAATACACAAAACATATTAAAATATACGGTAATTCTTGGCGTAATTTATACATTATTTTACAGTCATTAGATTTTAACGGACACCTTTGTATAATATGTACATTTTAAAATGGACTTTTAATTTTACCGGTTTGGAAAACATACGAATTATTTTTAATGGCTATGGGTGTAGTAACATTAAGCCAAAGACTGATCGAAGTTGTTTATATAACATCAAAACAAATCATTTTGTAAAGATCGATAAAATAAAACTTTTTTTTGTTACACTGTGGTATTAATACCCTCGATTAGGTATTAATCGAGGAGCTCGATGGAGCAGGTAGTTAGCGCGTTCGTCTGCGATCGTTGAATTTAAGCAACTTTCGCAGTGGTCGGTCATTGAATGGGTGACCAAAAATCTTCTATCTCGAGTTCCTCCGTGCTTCGGAAGGCACGTAAGCCGTTGGTCCCGGCTGCATCTGCAGTCGTTAGCACCCACCAATCCGCACTGGGCCCGCGTGGTGGGTCATGGCCCAATCTCCCTATTCCATCCATAGGGAAGGCCTGTGCCCCAGCAGTGGGGACATTAATAGGCTGAAGATGATGATGATGATGATTAATACCCTCAACTATATTATATTGACGACCTCCGTGGCCGAGTGGTTTGTACGCCGGGTTTCATGGTGTTGCCGACTCGAGAGGTCCTGGGTTCGAATACCGGTGGGGGCAGATATTTGTGTGATGAATACGAGCATTTGTACTCCAGTCATGGATGTTTAATATCTATTTCTATATAAATATACTTATATATGTACAGTTTATGTATTCTATCCGTTACCCTAGTATCCCATAACACAAGCCTTATAGTGCTTACTTTGGGGCTAGGCTAATTGGTGTGAGTGTTGGAAATATTTATTATTATTATTTATATTTTTTACTACATGCAAATGTGCTAAGACAAGTATTATAGATGGTAGGCGACATCATAAAGTCTATTGCCATACATTTTTCGCCAAACACCTCCCTAAACGCATTATAAGGTGTGATACACTAAAAATCTAAAATATGGTTATAATATAAACATAACAAAAATAATAAGCTTTCTTTAGCTAACGAGTGTTAAAAAATCTCCCTAATCTGTGGCTCATTCACAAATATCACATAGTTTCTGTCAAAGAGTACCTTATTATAACCGGAAATGCATAGATGATACCTGATTTTAAAAGTTACTCTTATGCATGAACTTTCAAAACAGGCAACTATCTAATTCTACATGCCTTATATACCTGAATCTAATACATAATTTTGGTACTTGGTTTGATTTCCCTAGTTTGCTATGTAACTTATTATTTTTTTATTTTAATATCTATGTGTGTTTGCAAACATATCCTCAAAATCATTCAGTGTATATCGCTTATAGACGTTCTCAGGGGCGTCCGTCAATAATATTCGTTTCTACAGTAATTTATATATACCTAATTTCGAATCTAGGAAACAATTTTTCATGATTATTGGGTTTTAGGCCAAACTTGTATGGAAGCTGAGCAATCTCCTTTAAGTTTAGGTTTAGAGAATCATGACAGTATCGACACCATTGTTTAACAAATTAATAATTAGGTACTTGATCATTTTTAATTCCAATTAATAATACTTTCTACATTATTTAGTCAAGTTTGCCTAACATATTCTTTCAAAAAAAGTTCATTTCTGGCGCTTCATAGGCCGCTGCTGCGGACGGACGTTACCCTCAATTCTCAAATCCTTTAGAATAGCTCAGAAAGAAGACTAGTATTTCTATGATTCATTTCTTGACTATTATAATCAAAGGATTCCTTCTATCATAAACCGTTACACCGAATTTTAATGTGACAAATGACTCACTTTATTCGGACCGTTATTCCGCGCGTCGCACTCTTCCTCATCTTCTTCCTCTTCTTCCACTTCTTCCTCTTCTTCATCATCATCATCATCTAGAATTACTCCATATTCATCTTCCTTCAACTCGCATTCGTCGTCCTCCATCCATCCATCGTCCTCATACGATGTAGCTCTGACGACATTGCAGTAAGATGCAATACTCTCTCCTATGTGGCACAGACAGCAGTGCAACGGTCGAGCCCACCCTTTTGGATCAGAGCCGGTCTTCGCGAGGAAACCGAGAAGCGCCATTAACAATGTCGCTCCGACCACTGAGCCCCAACCGGGAATGCTGGGCTGGTTAGCGGTCGAAGGTCGCCTTACAGTTAAAGAAGGTCTCGAGGTGTCTGCACTATGCCTCATGGCCACTGGACCCCCGGTTGAAGGGACGCTAGTGGCTCCTTGTTTTGTAACTTTGGGAGCACGTTTATAAACCATCGAACGTGGAGCGGAGTTTCGAGGCGCGTCCGCAGAACTCCGACGCGCGTCCTCAGAATTCCGAGGCGCTTCAACAGATCTGCGAGGCCCGTTCGCAGCACTTCGAAGCACGTCCGCTGCACGCCGCCGTGGCTGGCGTCGTTGGCCAGCTGAAGCCGCTTGGGCAGCTCTTTCTTGGTCTACAGCTCTTTCTTGGGCTGCAGCATTTTCTTGGGCTGCAGCGGTTTCTTCTGCCTCGCGCTCCCTTTCTGCCTGTAAGCGCCGCTCCTGCTCTTCTGCGCTGAGTAGAGAAGCGAAATATGTTCAGTTAGCTACACTAAAAGAATTTTCAGATTCACGTGGAAGGCGTTGGACTGAGTTAAAGTCGCTCAGCGTATGAGGTATTTTATTCTAAAGACAGCACGCAATATCAGTAGGTTAGAGCAAAACATCAGTAGCTATCAGTAGAATTAAACAACACGTTACTTATTAAAAAAAACTGTCTTTTGCCGTAAGTGCAGCCACTAGAAAATCATCGCAAGAGTGAAAAGTACAATTATTGATTATACTACTATTTACTTACCTACATGTATTATGTATCCTGTGCTATAAGTAAATTTTATTGCAATAATAATCTACATTTTCTTTTTTCGTTTCTTTTTCAACATAATTGGCAATATTGAGTTACTGAAGTCTAAAACTGCCATAGAATATATAGTGTTAAAAGCTGCCTAGATGATCAGAATGGTGTTTATTTAAATAAGTACATACCAATCACACATAGCTCCAAATGATGTTTTATGGTATCATAGGTAAATTTTGCATTTTTGCCGGTTTTGATTTGGTTTTATTCCTAATATTTATTCCTTTTTATGTTAACATTTTCATTTTTTTACAATAAATAAATTCCGTGATCATTTGTTGTGTTTTTACGTCTTCCGTTGACATTGTCTCAATTCTTCTTTTTTCATTTCTGTCTATGTCACTATTCCCCATTTTTGACATGAAGTAAACACTGAAAAATTATAAAGACTTTATTGATGACTAGCAGTGCCCCGCGGTGTTACCCGCTGCTTATTAGGGACATTTTCGAGCAGAAAAACGTAGCCTATGTCAGCGTATCCGGGTATCAGCTAACTCCATACCAAATTTTATTGAATTCGCTCCAGCCGTTTAAACGTGAAAAAGTAACAAACACACACACTCACAAACTTTCGCCTTTATAATATAAGTGTGATTCAGATGGGTTCAGGCCTTCCGCCCATAAGCGAGTTTTTATCGATCGATAATGTCGGATGCGTTATTGCGATATTTAAACTTCCATGTCTGACACACGCAGTCGCGAAAAAACTATGCTTAAAACTGCAAATCTCCGATTAAATTTCCAAGTGACATATCGTCTCTTACAGGAGGAGTGCGCGGTTTTCCGCACGTGCAGCCGAACGGGGCGCCTTGCTGCTGGTTGAGTTTCCGGCAGCCGTCGCCGGTGAAGAAGTACTTGTATATGAGAGCCAGCGCGCCCACCGCCACTGCCGCTGCGGCCGCCGCCGGCAGCCAGTCGCGACCGCCGCCGCCACTGCCACCGCCGGCACCTCCACTCACACTACGACGACTACTCATCACGCGCGCTACACAACTGCAACATTATGTAACCACTACACAACTGCAACATTATGTAACCGCTACACAACTGCAACATTATGTAACCACTACACAACTGCAACATTATGTAACCGCTACACAACTGCAACATTATGTAACCGCTACACAACTGCAACATTATGTAACCACTACACAACTGCAACATTATGTAACCACTACACAACTGCAACATTATGTAACCGCTACACAACTGCAACATTATGTAACCGCTACACAACTGCAACATTATGTAACCACTACACAACTGCAACATTATGTAACCGCTACACAACTGCAACATTATGTAACCGCTACACAACTGCAACATTATGTAACCACTACACAACTGCAACATTATGTAACCGCTACACAACTGCAACATTATGTAACCGCTACACAACTGCAACATTATGTAACCACTACACAACTGCAACATTATGTAACCACTACACAACTGCAACATTATGTAACCACTACACAACTGCAACATAAATAAAAACTTTTTAGCAAAAAATTAAACCACCGAAAAACAGAGAATCAGAAAAATAATAAACCCTTTTTATCTTCAGTCAAATTAATATTTGTAGTTGGTACCAACGATGGTGGCTGAAAAAAAATACATGTAGGTGAGCTACCCTAAAAAGAGGCTTTTTACCAAATTGATATGGGATTAATTTCGGAGTAAATTCGGAGGAATTCCCTTTCCAATAAAAGAAAATCAAATCAAATATCAAAATCGAACTACTCTTTAAAAAATTAAGCGTGATCTGGAGGCCATTGGCCTAACGGAATTGCTTTAGAAAACGCTATCGCTTACGATTTCATTTTATTATTTCTAGCTGCTAGCCACCTGAGGTTTTCAAATGCCTCGCGCTCTTTTTTTTCTTTTGCATTGGTAATAACAACATTAAAGAGAATGAGCGTGAGGTATTTGAAAACCTTCGGCGGTCAGAAATAACAAAATGAAATCGTAAGCGATAGCGTTTTCCATAGCAATCCCGTTAGGCGAATGGCCCCCTGATCATACATAAAAAACAAATACACGCGTCGAATTGATAACCTCTTCCCTGCTCCTCCGTTTTTTTTTGTCGATTCAAAAATAAATAACCACTGCTGCAATACTGAAACAATATGTAACCTACGCAATAGGGATGACGACAAATTATCTTTCTTCATCTATCATTCAGCGCGCAGACGAATTCCGCTGATTATTATCAGTTCAGAAGAAAGGACATCGACGAAATCGGCCCTAGCTTGCCCAAAAGAATGTCCTTCACTATTATCTTTCTATTATTTTTTTAACATATTAGCAATTAATCATAGTAAACGGACAATCTGTTTAAAAAAATAAAAAATTAAAAGTTCTGTTACTAGATACTACAGTCTATTCATCAAATCTGGCACTCCTTTTTATTGAAAAAAACAGCATTAAAAATCAACTGATAACTGGATTCAAAAGGTTTCAGTCTATAATAACGATTTATTTTAATAGTTTATTGTCTTCGTTAATATTTTATTATTATTAAATGGGTGATTCTGTTAAAAAGTTGTGCCAAGATTGTTTACCTTAATAAATGCATTAGAGGCGACCATAGGTATTTATCAAAAGAAAAATAGAGATACCTTAGTTAATAATACTTATTACTAGTTGTACGAGTCACGTACAGTAATATTGTATATCTGCAGAGCAAGCATAACCTACTTTAATCACGTAGATGTATCTAAGAAATGCATCATATTACGTCATTGTATTAAGTATATAAAAACATTTACTTTTCTTAATAAATCAATGCTCGTCATGCATTCAACAGTAACAGTTGTCTTTCTTCCTTTATCCTAATATCATTAGGCAGGGGGTCACCCCTACAGTTTGGTCCTTTGAGTTATCAAAATATGAACCTTTCAACATATACGGTCCTCCGAGCTTGGAAAAGCGGGATCAATTCGCGACAGTGACTGTTCCTGTGTAACCTGGCCATGGATATCGACAACACTAAGGTACTTATCATAATATATTATTTTTCATCAAGGAATATTTTTGACAGTGGCGAATCGATTCACCCGGCCTCCCACAAGCGGGTCTCACTGGCTGAATTGAGAAGGCGCATACACTGTGATGCAAGTAGATAAACGAAAGCTGCTTTATAGCAGCTTAGCATCTTATCACATACGATCATGGTTTTACACGAACGTCGAGAAATATCAGGAAGGAAGGGCACTCGATTACTCTGTGAAGACAAGACATGGAGCGCAAGTTAACGTAATAATTTACAACAACAGGAACACCATTATCACCATTTGGTGCGTTTGGGTCATTTAAGAAGCAGCATCCATATCAGTATCAACACCGTCTTCATCGCTGGTGAAATGAAGCCGCAACAACTTCGTCAACTTGCACAGGAAGTAGTATCGCGGAACATAACAAGGTTTGAGAGTTCTAGCATTAGCAGAACGGCTAGGTTTATCATATGACTCAATTGACACGACAAACAAGAAATGATCTTGTTTTAAGTATCTTCTAAGGAGTAGATTATTATTAATGAGCAAGCATATATCATATCATTGATTAAATTTAGTATTTAAGTATCAATTAAACCAATGTGGAGACAACCACTGATATCATTTATATCATTGAGGAGATATCCTATACTTATAATATCAAGCATTTTTATAATTTTTATCAATTGTTATATGTAGCAGAAGTTCTATATAACAAATAAATTAATTTAGGATATAAGTATCAATTATGGCATTTTGGGACATACTTTATATATTTATTTATTCAATTAGCATTTTTTATCAATGAAAACATTGTGGAGACATCCACTGATATCATTTATATAATTTTGTAGCATTAAGGAGACTTGCTATAATTAACATATCAACCAATTCTATTTTTTATGAATCGTAACTTGTAGCAGACATGCTACGTTACAAATCAATTAATATAGCTTTGTTAAGTATCAATTAAAACATTGTGGAGACATCCACTGGTATCATTTTTGTTAGCTCTATCATACGAATCAACTATCATTTCTTGTATTAAGTATCATTTTAGAAAGAGAATGTTATTGTGTTACACAAATATCATATTCATTAATTGAGCATTTTTTATCAATTTAAACTGTGGAGACTTCCACCGAATATCATTTTTCAATATCAATCAATTTAGCAATTTTTACGTTGTGGGACCACCCTACATAACTTAGCATTTAATTAGCATTATTTATCAATTTAAACATTGTGGTCACATCCACTAATATCATTTTTATCAATCATTAAGATTAAGGAGCACCCTAGACTTAGATCATTTTGCAACAAGTAAGTAAAGTTCGGAAAATGTGGTCTAACTAAGTTTTTAGTATAAGTCATAACATTGCTATCTTATTATCAAGAATGCAACAGACATATAATGTTTCATAATAATGTCGATCAATTCATCAGCAAAAATATGCTGTTATTTATATGTTATAATGTCATGTCAAGATTTATCAAACAAAAACCGAATTGAGCAAACAGAGATTAATTTGTAAAAAAAAATGCATAGCAAGTCGGAAGAATATGTGCAAGTAAAAATAATGTGTGTCACATTCGTATGGGTAAAGTGCTAGATCATCAATCATGTGCTCGAGTCAATGTAACTACTATGAAATCAAATTTAATTATAGCTGTAATAACGACTGTTTAGATCTTAAGTTATAAGTTTTCATTGAAGGCATAAATAGGTAAAAAGCTACTTTCTTTGTAATTGTGGTTGTAAAAATTATTTGTAAAATAATATTGTTTCAAAATTGTATATCTTTGTGTTTTAAAATGTGAAAGGATGTTAAAGTCGAAATCAATGAGTTTATTATTTAAAATGTTTCTAAAACAAAGTGAACTGCATTTAAGTTAAATCAAAATATATTTTATAATTTCATACATAATTTTACTCCTAAAGATTATTTAGGTAAATGATAAAATGGAATAATTGTAGGTTATTAATTCAGTAAACACTATCATGAGGAATAGAAAAGGGAGCACCTTCGAGCCAGCACAGGCTTATGTATCATGCAAATAAATGGCTTTTACGACACATAATTTTGGTTTGTATACACATACGAAATCTTATCAGAATCAAATCAAGTTGAATAAATACCTATTTGTCAAATTTGGAGTTCTTCATAAGGTAGATCAATTAATAAATGTATAGTTTGATTAGATATTTTGACATTTTGTAATCATGCACTTTGATGTGAATATGTATAAGATTTCTGGTATTGTATCATTGTTTGTTTTTCTTTTCTTTTAAATTGGCAATATGTACGAGTCACGTACAGTAATATTGTATATCTGCAGAGCAAGCATAACCTACTTTAATCACGTAGATGTATCTAAGAAATGCATCATATTACGTCATTGTATTAAGTATATAAAAACATTTACTTTTCTTAATAAATCAATGCTCGTCATGCATTCAACAAGATCAGATGTCCTTCTTTCTTTATCCTAATATCATTATGTAGGGGGTCACCCCTACACTAGTATTATATTTATAGAAAGATTATTTCTGAAATTATGTAAAGATAGTTTATACTCACATTCCATGTAATATCTGTTTATTTTTATGAAAATCATAATGATAACCAGATACATACCTAATTACCGATAGTAAAATATAGAAACAGGTAAATGGAAAGACTGAACATTTCATTTGAAAAGAAATCTATTATTACTACAGGTAAGGTATAGGTATCGTAGGTGCCAACTGACAACACTCATTAATCAATATGAATATAAGCATTTATTATTTCTATTATTAATTGCATTTTATGTTCATTTAATGCCAATTATTTAAGTGCTTACATAGAGGTAAACATTAAATCTATTCAGAATATATAAAGTGTACATCTTTTACGATTAAGTATAATAATTATAACCTCAAAATCAAATACATTCTGTAGTAGGCTACGGTTCCTCAAGTTGTCCGTATCTCAACAAATGCCTAATTAGAGTTTATGAATGATTCCGAACACAACTAGCATTTTCTCATTGCTGGGCGTTCTAGGGCATTCAATGTATGGGGAACGAGCAATGTCCTTTGTGCATTAAGTTGTGGAGATAAGGGTGCTGCAGCAGCTGTTAGGTTTCTGAATGACTGACACTTCGATGCGCTTCGACTCTGAGAGGTGACTGCGTCTCGTGGCTTGACTGAGCCACTAGTGGTCGCGTTTAGTGGCCGCCACTAGCGACAATGTCCGCTTGCTCTAAGCGTCCAATATGTTTTGACAATTTTACTGACAGACTAAATAGAATTTCGTTTATTTAACCCCGTCGTATTGCAACATTTGAACTTTCATGGTCACTAGCATAATAGTAATTTATGTTATTTCATCATCATCATCATCAGCCTATCAATGTTCCCACTGCTGGGGCACAGGCCTTCCCTATGGATGGAATAGGGAGATTGGGCCATGACCCACCACAGGGCCAGTGCGGATTGGCGGGTGCTAACGACTGTGCCTTCCGAAGCACGGAGGAACTCGAGATAGAAGTTTTTGGTCACCCATCCAATGACCGACCACTGCGAAAGTTGCTTAACTTCAACCATCGCAGCCGAACGCGCTAAACACCTGCGCCATCGAGCGCCATCGAGCTCGAGCGCCAATTTATGTTACATATTTACCGGATTGTTCCCATGTACCTTTTATACCCACCTATACCCATGTTATATTTCGGTACTGTTGCAAGCGCCATGATCTTGCAACAGTGCCGAAATATCGGAAGCTCGCTAAAAACAAGGTACATGGTAACAATCCCTTAAATAACATAAATTACTATAATAAATAAACTTGTCTACTAGATTTTGCCCACTTCTTCATCCGCTCGTTATGATTACATTTTGAGAATTCCACAGGAACCTTTTTGTAGGATAAAAAGTGTCCTGTGTTAATTAAAGTGATAAAATACATGTATACCAAATGCCATACAAATCCGTTCGGCGTGAAAAAGTACACAAACATCCATAGAAACTTTCGCTTTATATATTAGTAGGATAGGATAGCAGGATATGTTATAATTACTACACAACTGCAACATTATATAACAGTGCAACATTTGATCGTCACGCTACACGAGTATCCTATCCTACTCAATCGAGACGAGCATCGAAGTCAAAGCAAAAGTATCATCTGGCGAGACCCCGTCAATTTGTCACTTTAATTATTTTTCATTCCTTGTTACCTACAGTACAGGTAGCAAATTTATATTGCTTTATTACTCATCCAAACCGTATAACAGTATTTGAAAATTAGTACGCTCAAAAACTAGGTTCTGCAATTTTGTATTCAAACTAAGGAATATACACACTCACATTGTTTCTTAGCATTGCAATGCAACAATGAAATTACATTCTCTTACCATTGTGATTCTTTAAAATGCCTTTCTGTTAGTTATATCAAAATTATTTTTTATATTTTGTTATCTAAATGTTGTCTTCGTTTAATTCGCTGGAATTTTGTTATCTACATCCAATTCTCCACGCTCCACGCCACTTCTTATCAATTTGTCTGACAATCGTGTACTGTCTTGTCACAAAAAAAGTTTGAATAGACTACTAAGAAAAGGTACCCTAAACCATTTGTTATATCTCTTAAAATTGCCTGTAAATTTTGAAAACATCAGTCATTGCTCTCCACAGAGTACAAAAGTTCTATGGTTGATCCTTGCATTGCTTTAAGCTGGCTACTCACATTTCCATGGGGCCATCCCGGGTGTAAGGTTGGGATTGTCCCTTAATTACCTCGTTAATTGTGATGTTTGTGCTTACGCGCTTAGGCAAGCAAGGGCAATTTCAATGTAAAACGCAACGGTAACCACCGCGGGAGAAGACAACTCCACGATGCGAGGCTTGAGGGACCACCTTTAATTATGGCTATGTTTAAGTTGTCGATATTTTTATTTTTTTACAAATTATCTACTAAAACTTAATGTAGAAAAAGTAAGGTTTCATTTTTTCGTTCGGTAATATTCACTAAAATACTAATAATCGTTCTGAGGGACCACAGTTTAGACGTTATATTTTTTATCCCTATCATGGATTGTGGTCTGTGATTTGGTGTACATCTGTACAAAATTTCTACTAAATGTCTGTAATCACATTACCTCAATTTAGTAGATACTTTCCGAGATCTGACTGATGACATGTGAGAACTGAGGAACCACATTTAAAGGCCGTTTTTAAATATTTTTTTAGAATTTTTTTTTTCGGACTCGTTCTACATATATTGTTTTTAGACTTCTATTAAATCCTGATAAGAGATCCTTTGAGAAATTAGATCTGGTCTCTCAGTTCACTTCACACGTGTCATGTACGTGTGAAATGAACTACATAGGTGCCATACATTTTCATACACTGACTAATCGCATCAGCCACTTGCTACCATTCACAGGCGCGCCCATCCGCCGGATTTGTCGCTGGCGACAAGTCCGCCCACAAATCCGCGTGTGAATGTATTGGTGAGTTCGGCTCGCGGCTTGTCGCGGCGCTCGCCGTCAAGAGACGCGAGCGCCGCGCCGCACCCCAGCCGCGCCGTACAAATCCGTACGTGTGTGTGCTTGCACAGATTTATCGGTGAACTTGTCAGTCATTTGTAGTGCATGCACGCAGAACGACCTCTTAACTCGTTAATTCTGTATCACGTCTCGTTAATTCTGTATCACGTCTGTATCACTTTTTTGACGTTTATGCGGTACTGTTTCAAGTCAAAAAGTTGAACATAATACTCATTTAAGTTGATATCAAGTTAATATCATTTTAAAGAGTTGATCATAATACGCTTAATTTGATGTCATTTTGATATCGCATTTTTCGGAGAGCATAATACGTAATGTGAAATTGACATCAAAAGAATATCACAATTAGCGAACATAAAGAGCTAATTGTATTTCTTCTACAAGGGGTTTATCTCTTCTACGCATGTCTTCGGCATGAGCTCGTTCTAAATAGTCCATTACTAACCCGAAACGAGCCATTTTACTCTTTTTTATTAAAAAAAAAAAGGAATTTGATACAGAAAAACCACCTCCTAACTTGTTAAGTCTGTATCACTTTTTTGACGTTTATGCGATACTGTTTTATGTCAAAAAGTTGAACGTAATACGCATTTAAGTTGATGTCATTTTAAAGTTGATGTCATTTTGATATCGCATTTTTCGGAGAGCATAATGAGTAATGTGAAATTGACATCAAAACAATATCACAATTAGCGAGCATAATTGGCCTGCAGTTGTGTTGTTTGTATCACGAACGAGTAAACGAGATTATTAATAACATGTCGTTCGGCGATCATAAAGAGCTTTGGCAAGAATTTATCCTGCTGTTTAAAGAGAAAACTAAAGAGAAACAGGTGGTTTACAGGTCTGAATGCATTGCAGCAATTTTAAATGAGTATATTTTGTTCGTTCTTTCAGCCATTCCTTTGTTCAAACGCGCTTTTTTTTTATTCTCCGTTAAAAGTATTGCACCGACTACTAAAGCGACTTTTGTGCGTTTGGAAAGCACCGGTGGCATGGTAGGGTAGGGAAGAACGATACGCGCGAGGCTCACCAAAGTACACAAGCGACTGGACTGCAACTCGACGCTCGTGTAGTGTGTGGGCAATGACGGATTTGTCCACGGATGGGTACGGCTCGGGGTTCGGGTGGGGTGCGTGTAGTGCTGTAGTGAATGGTGGGCTTTAAGCTATTAACAGACGTTCCGATTTGGTTGGTGCCAACCACCCGACCACGACCAAAACGGAAAGTGTGGAGAGCGGTCGGTCCAACATAATTATTATTATTATTGGTTGGACGTGGTCGGATCGCCAACGCATCCGACAAGCCGACCGTCCAACCAAATTGGAACGTATGGAAGCTACGTTCCGACCAAATCGACTCAATCGCACTCGCTACGCCGGCGTTGTAGGACGTCAACATGAACGCCGAGGGAGTGACGGTCACCGAACGTGACATATTAATAAAGTTACTAGAACTTTATAAAGACTTTCCCTGTTTGTGGGACTTAAGTCACAAAGATTACGCCAATAGAGATGCCAGAAATCAAGCGTATTTGATAATGCTGAACGTTTTTAAAAAAAATGACAGTGCAGCTACTTTGAAAACGTTGAAAACTAAGTTGGACAATATGCGTACATCCTATAAGAGGGAGCGAAAAAAGGTAAGCAAATTCAAGTCTAATAATCTGTTGTGTATATAAATAAATAATGTGTAAGTTGTGAGTATTTTTGTAAGTTGTTACATATTTATAATACATTGTTGTAAGTATGTTACATATTTATAATTATTAATATTTGTGTCTTCAATACATACTTTTGTTGTACTTATTCTCTTTTCCTTATTTATTTATATATTTCATTTTTAACTACCTTACAATGCTTTCGGTTTTTATTCTCAAGGTTGACTGGGAGAGAATGCTTTTAGCATTAAGTCCACCTACTGTTAGCTCTACGGGCTCGAAAAGTTAAATAAAAAATAAAATAAATAAATAAATAAAAATTACGTTACATTAAATACATGTATTTAATGTGACGTAATTTTTTCATTTCATAATGATATGACTGCTAAAGGATTTCGCCCCTTCCCTCTACCTGCTTCTACAGTTCAAGTGACATAGCGGTATAATTGCTACATCAAGTCATGTTTTGACAATATTTATTAACAAGTAAAAAAAAATTACATATTCAAAGTACTTCATTGAAGAAATAACACAACTATGGGTTTCAATAAACTCTAGGATATTGTACATATTTTTAGGTGGAAGCTAGCAAGACTAGTGGTGCTGGAAACGATGAAGTGCATTTGCCATCACTATGGTACTACGAACATCTCTCATTCTTGGACGAAAAAACCACACCGACGACAGAGGTTATTGACAATATGGATACGAATTCTTCCCTGTCAAATAATGATGGGGTAAGCTTTAAATATTTAAAGTATTAATCATTCTTTCTTGAAAATGTACCCGGCCCTGATTGTTAAAATATTCAGTGAATATTTGTCTAACAGAATTACCATCAGCAGTACGTTGCCTTTCTGTTCTGTTAAGACTTACTGAGTTGTCATTTAATCTCCAGTCTCCTGGCCGAAAAGTACATGTTTCAGTATCCTCGGTATCAACACAATTTCTTGTTATATAGTTCGATGACTTTTTTCTTAAATAATTGTGCAGTGCGCATGAAGCCATTACAACTTTGGGTACATTATGAACATTAATTTGAATTGGTCTTTTTAATACTCTAAAACGTTCAGCTAAAATGCCAAATGCATTTTCGACAATTCTTCTTGCTCTGGAAAGTCTATAATTGAAAATTCTTTGATCATGTGTCAAATTTCTTCTTGGATATGGTTTTAAAACATTTTCATTAATGGCAAATGCATTATCTGCTACAAAACAATATGGGGCGTTAACATTTGTTTCCGGTAAAATAGAAGGTGATGGTAAATTTAGTTGTTTCGATATCAATTTTTCATGAAAAGTTGTATGTTTGAATATTCCACCATCAGAAATACTGCCATTAGAACCTACATTTACATAAATAAACTCGTAATTTGCATTCACAATACCAAGCAGGACTACACTGAAAGTTCCTTTATAATTATAGTACAATGTACCCGATTTTGGCGGCTTCTCGATAATAACATGTTTGCCGTCAATAGCACCCAAGCAATGATTAAATTGCCATTTTGTTTCAAAGTCTTTAGCTATTTGTAACCAGTCATTTTCTGTTTCAGGAACCTGCAACAAAAAGAGAACGCGTTACGAGAAAAAAGCAAAATGATATTTTAAAGAAACAGTCGGAATTACTAGAGTCTGCAAAAATATTAATATCAGGCGACGGCACATCAGCTGATGCTTTTGGGAACTCCGTGAGCTCTCAACTCAAGGAGCTCCCAAAAATACAAAGATGCCTAGCCGAAAAATTAATAGGCGAAGTATTGTTCTATGCAAAACTAGAAATCCTTACTTTTGAAACATCAATAAATGTAAAAAGAAGTTCAGAACAATCTTTTGGTCAGCGGTATGCGTATCAGCAGCAGGTGCCAAAACCATCACTAGCACCATCATCACAGCATCACCAGCCATCACCATATGTACCATCACCAACACCATCACCATCATCACAGCATCACCAGCCATCACCATATGTACCATCACCAACACCATCACCATCACCACAGCATCACCAGCCGTCACCATATGCACCATCACCAACACCATCACCACAGCATCGTCAGCCATCACCATATCAATCGTCACCATCACCATCACCACAGCATCGTCAGCCATCACCATATCAATCGTCACCATCACCATCACCACAGCATTACCAGCCGTCACCATATGCACCATCACCAACACCATCACCACAGCATCGTCAGCCATCACCATCACCTAAGTACTCACATACAGCACAATCTCAACCGTCACTTCAACACAGTCAGCCATCACCATCAACATTACCTCAGCTTCCACCATCATCACACTCGTACCAACACATAGTGTCCCCTCAGCTTACATCGGATGACTCATCTTCACAACTAATCTATGATTTGCCACCAATCCCATTAGATTCCACTTCATTGATTAATGACTACCCAAACACTTCTTTTGAATTAAGCAGCAATCAACAACAAGTATTCAGAGGAAAGGCGAAGGAATTAAACA